GCACGGTTGGCAAGCGCGTTGGCTGGTGAAGTGCATGACCTGGGTTCGAGCCCCAGGTCTGTATTATTTCCCATATTATTTTGCTATCTATGTTCCCATGCAGTGCCAGCATCAAGACGCACCCTATGCCTTCAAGAATCCCACATCCACGTGCCCTTGGAGATCAGATCAAAGGCTGAGAATTGATGAACACCCTAAGCTTGAGTCAACGCGCCACACGTTATTCAAAAAGTCCACCAGGCCTTGCTAAATGGGCCAGACTACTAAGGCCAAACCTCCATATTGGGGTCTGAACCCCCAGGTTTGCATATTCTTTTTATTTTCTTTACTTCTTTTTTGTATTATTATTTTTTATTCCTTTTAATTATTATTTGTCCAATTTAATTAATTATTTTCACAAAATACAAAAACATCATAAAAATCAGAAAAGATAAAAATATAATAAATATTTTATTTTAATATTTCTTGTAAATAAATGCATGTAAATTAATTAGTTTAAATTAGGGTTTTAATTTTAGTTCCTTTCATAACAAAAATCTAAAAAACGTAGAAATAGGTTTAATTGATGTTTTTATTCCCTTTAATTTTTCTTTTTTTATAATTCAGTATTATTTATTTATTTTTATAATTAAATTGCATATAAAAATTAGGTTTAAATTAGGTTAAAATTCAACATATTTCTTAATAAATTAAAAATAACTAGAATTAGGGTTTGCATCTCATTTAGATCTTAATTAATTCTTTTTTTATATTAAATCTTAAAAGACATAAAAATACCAAAAAACAAAAACAATTTCTTTTCTTAAATTAATTGATTCATGTAATTTTAATATTTTGCAAAAAGGGTCCAACGCCCTCAGTTCGACTTAATTGTTTATTCGCACATTTATTTTATCTCGTTTAAATATTTATGTACCTCTCCCAAGGCCTTGTAATATTTTAATTACTTCTCGCACTTTTAATTTCTTTATCTTTTCCGTCAAATCGGGTCCTGGTTAATTTTGGCGATGTGGACCCGCGCCTTTTGTAATAGCTTAGAATTTACTTTTCCCGCAAATATTTTAACTGTTAACAAATGGCATGAAAGAATGTATGGACAAAAATAAAAACAAGCGTAGAACACCAATAACATGACAAGATAAATGCAAATGAAAACGACACACGAATCGCACACACCACCCCTAGGGTACGCCTCACTGTTGCCTTGCCTCGAAAGGTGATCGTCGAGTAGAGGATGTCTTAGTAAGTCCTCATGATCCGGGAACCTGGCATGAGGGTAGCTTCTAAGGTGTCTTCCCATTGCTCTGGTGATCACCATATCCCGAACCCTCGAATTGACCCGAACACCTCCAACGGTGGTGCTACCTACCTCTCAATGGTGGGATGGCACTACTTTAAAGGACATCTACACAGACGAATTCCTTAGGGTAGGTAGACGACTCTAGATACTTGCTCTAATTTCAAAAACAAATCAAAAAATACTTTTCACACCGACACCTTTTCAAAAAGCTTTCGAAGGCAATTTTTCAAACACTCTTGAGGACTGATACAAGAGTCGAACTGGAATTTTCAAAGAAACTTTTTAAAAAACCCACATTGAAAAGCAAACAAACCATTTTTGAAAACAAATGAGCAAGTATCTAAGAGCCCATGGATAACCATGGATAGAAAGGGTGCTAACACCTTCCCTTTCTATAACCTACCTCCCGAACCGAGAGCAATCTCTTTAAGGAATTTTTCTGTGCTTTTGTCCTTTCCATTTGGAGAAAATAAAAGACAGTGGCGACTCTTGCTTCCGCGACATTTCGCGAACCAGCGTTAAACAGTCAGTTCCAGATCCACCGATCACAGAACTGGCGACTCTGCTGGGGACTTAAACTTAAAGTGAGGTGTACCTTAAGATTAAGATCACTATGTTTTCAATTGTCTTCTTTGCTTGCTTTACTATTGTGGGTTGCATCGGAGTTACATAGATCCTAACCCGGATCTGGGGATACCCTGTTTAGGTAGCATAAGCTGTGAGGGACCTGTCCGGCGTATACCGACATGGGTGAAGCAGTGGCTACGTTGGTGTGGCACCTTGGTCTGTACCGATATCCCTCGTGTTGAAACGGGGAGAATATGGGTCTTCCAAGGAGCCATTAAGCACCAACAGACCTTAGAACCTTAAATGACACAACTTGGCCATTAGAACAGTAGCAGTATGCTACGCCCATTGAGGCTAAACTCTCGTGATGGTTCTGGCCGCAAGAAAAGATTGCGATGCTGGAGTTATGACCGATTGAGGGTAGTCAATGATACTGGGATCCTCTAAGAACCCGGTTACTTTGATAGGACAGGTATGAACCAACCAACTGAAAGAGGGTAATACCTAGACCTCATGCTGGCCTAAACTCTAAGGGCTTCTCTTGTGTGACTTGTGTGCCTTCGTACTTGACTATCTGCATGCTTGTTACCTGACACTTGTTTCTTGCAGGTTTTGCCTATAGTCCTTAATTAGGACTCATAACAGGGTATCCTAAGTTTCTTGCAGGTTTTGGTTTGCAGCCCTTAATTGGGACTCGTAACAGGGTTACGTACATTACCCCATGCATATCATAACATCATACCATTGCATACATTCTAACCCATTTCAAGGATCTCAAGGGCTTGTGATGCAGGTCACGATGAACCAACTGTCCAGCAAGGGGCAAAGGGGATTTATTTTCCTCTAGACAAGGTTGTCAGGGGCTATGACCCACTGGATATGGTGAGCCTTTGACCCTTGACGAAGGACTCTCAACAGCATGAAGTACCTTCAATCAAGTCACCAGTTTTCAACTCTATCTTGAAAGTACGATTTGCAGCCATGGGTGCTCTAAGAATTAAGACTCTGTTTCGGTCAAAAACGCGCAAAATCTTATTTTCCATGCGAATTATGTAATTCTTCTCAAGCAATTGGCCAATGCTTAAGAGATTACATTTAATTCCAAGAATGTATAACACATATTTGATCAAGGAGTGACTCCCATCCTTCTTCATGATCAAAACATCATCCACACCATCGGCCGCTAAAGTGGTGTCATCCGCGAATTTTACTCTATTCTTCGTGGCTTGATTGATTTTGACAAACCAATCTTTTCTATCAGTCATATGCGTTAAACAACCAGAATCCAAGTACCACTCATCACTGCCTTGAGCTCCATCTCGAACGGTTACCATTGCGTTTCACTCCGAACGCGTTTCTGCAGAATTCCAAAACTGAATATCACAACAGAAACCGGTTTCCTCAAACTGGGAAACCGGTTTCCTCTTCCAAACTTCCAAATTCCAGATTTTCAGAAATGCTTTTCCAGATAAGTTGTTTGCTCGAAACGATTACAAAAGATATTATAAAGTATTTGACTTATTCTAAACATCTAATAGATAGATGGATCTGATCATAACAACTGCGATAACTGGTGGACTCAATTCACCCAATTGAAATATAAGAAACCAAAGTTACACAATTGCAATACTCAATATTTTGAAAGTGCAATAAGGTTTTTATAAAAATTAAGCCTTATTTCATTAAGTGCAGTCGATTATATGGATTGAATTACATCATAATCTTCTATCAATGACTGTGTTCCTGTCAAACTTGTTAATCTCAACATCTTCTTAATAGTTTTTCTAAATCTTACTGATCTACTCTCTTTAAAGATATAGTATGACGGGGTGACCAATATTGAAAAGCTTTCTACATTTTAAAGGGGGTGATGTACAAATTATATTAAACTACGTGTATAAATAATATTTCTTTCACAAACTTAATGTAGATTCAAAATGGCGCCGCAGAGTAATTTTTGCAAGTCAAAGGTCTAAAGTTTGATTCTTACCACTCAAAGATTTGTAATTTTATCATTTTATTTCAAAAAATGACACAAAAGGGAATTGAACCCATGTCTAAAGTGGGCCAGCCGAAACGGGCCTTAGATTTTTTAGGATCGTGCCAAAAAACTATGTTGTAATATGAACTCAAATTTCGGTCATGTATGGATTTTGGGCTATCCAACCCTAAATTAATTATTTTTTAAAACTATTTTATACAAAAATTAAAATAAAAATTTCATAATATTTACTATAAATACAATAAAAATATTATATTATTTTAAATATAATATATTTTTAAGTATTATATTAGTTTTTATGAATACTATAATATATTTTAAAATATAATACATATCGAAATTGTATAAAATAATACTCAAATATTTAACATAACATAAATCAATATAATATGAGAAAATTGTGAAATAAAACACAAAAAATTGAATATTAATTATATTAATGTATAATATTTAAAAGAAATAAAATTTAGTGAGATGAGAAAAATTACTATATTGTTTAGGAGTGAGACAATAAAATATTAATATAATTTTTAAAAATTTATAGTTATGGGAGCTTAACGGACTACCCGCGGTCCCATTCGAATTAGTCCTAATAGATAGTAGATTTTTTAAATTAAAATTAAAAGTCTTAAAAAATATGGACTCTAATTTTATGGTTCAGACCTTATAGATTTTCGGGATTGGCAAATCGGTCAATATGAGCTTAGTCTATTTTGACGGCTCTATGCTACCCCAGTGAAACGGCTACAGTTAAAAAACCAAAGGAATTGGCTACAAGTTCAAGGCATATTCAGGTTTTCTCATGAGCTTCATTTTAGCAGCCACTACAACTGCTATTTGGCCACCACCAAAAAGCACAATGCAGCAGGGTTTCACTTAGCACCTAGGGATTGCTATAACACTATTGACTACAGAGGTGGAAGTATTGTAACTGCAAATACAGGTCATTGCAACTGTCAGAATTCTTGCATACAACTGATGTTGATTGTTCCAAAACTCATAGGAGGTTATACTAAACACCAAGATTATAGACTGAAATTGTTCCTAATTTCCTATATCACACACAATCAGACACGCTCAACTAGCATGCATTTATTTAAATAAAAGGTAATATCATGCATAATTTCTTACCTCAACAGCATTTTCTTCATCATTTATAAACTTTGGAAGTTTCCTCATTAGTTCTTTACTGTCCGCTCCAGCTAGTGCCTCGCTTATCTACACAGTTCAAAACACAAAAGTCAAAGAAAATACCTACGAACTGTGGGATTTTGGATCGAACTCTAGTTGGTCGAAGTACTTGCTGTAGTCGAAGAAGGTTCTAGCATGTATTTGTCGAAGGATGCTTGTCGAATTAGGTTTTAGTGTTTAAACCCTAATTTGTTAAGTTAGCTTGTATAATGGGCCTTGTGGAAAAAGCCCATTAGTTAGTATGTTAGGTTTTATTATAAATAGCATACTAGTCTCTCATCATTGCCAACACAGCAAATCCTAATAAAGGGTGAGAGGGTTATTTGTTATTCTTGTAAACTTGTAATCTTGTTTCCTAAGAGAAAGTAAAGAATAGCAGTTATAACCAATTCTTGTGTTCTTCTTCTTCCTTGTTTGATATTCCTCCATTATTCTATACTTTGTTATTGGCATTGAATTCACAACAAATTGGTGCGGTGAGCGTGGAGAAGATGCCTTCAACAAAGTATGAGATTGAAAAGTTCACCGGAGTGAATGATTTCGGTCTATGGCGCTTGAAGATGAAAGCCCTACTGGTTCAGCAGGGTTGTTTGGAAGCGTTGAAGGGAGCGACGGCGATGGACGCTGCGTTAACAGAAAGAGAGAAGACGGCCATGATCGAGAAAGCACACAGCGCAATTCTGTTGAGCCTTGGTGATAAGGTTCTTCGACAGGTATCAAAGGAGACGACGGCATCAGGGTTATGGGTGAAACTTGAAAGTTTGTATATGACCAAATCTCTGGTAAATCGACTCTACCTGAAGCAAGCTTTGTATTCATTCAAGATGATTGAAGACAAAGTGTTGGCTGAGCAGTTGGATATGTTCAACAAGCTGATTCTTGATCTTGAAAATATTGATGTAAAGATTGATGATGAAGATCAAGCGCTGTTATTATTGTGCGCTTTGCCCAGATCACATGCTCACTTCAAAGAAACCCTCTTGTATGGAAGAGAGTCCCTGACCTTTGAAGAAGTTCAATCAGCTTTGTACTCTAAGGACTTGAACGAACGCAAGGAGCATAAACCTTCGACGGTTGGTGAAGGTTTGGCTGTTAAAGGAAAATTCGACAAGAAGAAAAGTAAACATCAGTCGAAGTCTTATAGTGGTGACGCATCTGGTATTAGATGCTATCACTGTAAGAAAGTAGGTCACACAAGAAAGGTGTGCCCTGAACGCCTGAAAGATCATGGAGGTAAGGACAATGGCAATGCAGCTATTGTCCAAGATGATTTCGAATCATCTGATGTTCTTGTGGTTTCAAGCAACAACTCGTCGAAGGAGTGGATTATGGATTCTGGATGCACTTGGCACATGACTCCAAACAAAGACTTATTCGAGGAATTATGTGATCAAGATGGTGGATCTGTATTGCTGGGAAACAACAAAGCTTGCAAGATTGCAGGCGTTGGATCTGTGAGATTCAAGCTCCATGATGAGTCAATAAGATTGTTGACTGAAGTCAGGTATGTACCTGATTTGAAGAGAAATTTGATTTCCCTTGGTGAATTCGACAAGAAAGGATATGTGTTTCAAGGAGAGAAAAGTATCCTGAGAGTCATGAAAGGGTCGAAGGAAGTCTTGAGAGGCGTGAAGAAACAAGGCTTGTATACCCTTGAGGCTGAAGTTGTAAGTGGTTCGACAAATGTTGCATCCACGAAACCTTTGTCGAAGACAGAAATTTGGCACATGAGATTGGGCCATGTCAGTGAAAGGGGTCTGGTCGAATTAGGGAAACAAAATCTGCTTGGTGGAGATAAAGTCGAAAAGCTGAAGTTTTGTGAACCCTGTGTACTTGGAAAATCCTGTAGAATGAAGTTCAACAAAGGCAAACAAAGAACACATGGATCCCTTGATTACATCCATGCTGATCTTTGGGGGCCTGCAAGGTGTCCATCACATTCAGGAGCAAAGTATTTTCTATCCATAGTAGATGACTATTCCAGAAAGTTATGGGTATTCATCCAGAAGACTAAGGATGAAACTTTTGAGAATTTCAAAAGTTGGAAGACTCTTGTCGAAAATCAAACTGGCAGAAAGGTAAAAAGGTTGAGAACCGACAATAGCCTTGAGTTTTGCAATGAGGCGTTCGACAGTTTTTGTGTTGCCTCTGGTATTGCAAGGCACAGAACTACCGCAGGTACTCCACAACAAAATGGTTTGGCTGAAAGGTTTAATCGAACTATTTTGGAGAGAGTTAGATGCATGTTGACTAGTGCGGGATTAAAGAAAGTGTTTTGGGCTGAGGCTGTTTCGACAGCAGCATATCTGATAAACAGATGTCCTTCGACAGCGTTAGATATGAAGACACCTGAAGAAGTTTGGTCGGGACATCCACCAGATCTCGACAAACTAAGAGTATTTGGCTGTGTAGCCTATGCTCACATTAGGCAAGACAAGGTCGAACCTAGAGCTCTGAAATGCATGTTTATGGGATACCCTGAAGGAGTAAAAGCTTATAGGCTATGGTGCCTAGAGCCAGGTCACAGGAGGTGTATCACCAGTCGAGATGTAGTTTTCAATGAAACTGAAATGGCTTTCAAGAAAACTGATGATGTTGACGAAGAGCTGGAACAGGTAGAGATTCCTGTTGAGGTGGAGCATGTTGATGCTGAAATGCGTATCCCAGATGAAGTCGAAGAAGAAACAGAATATTCTGATGATGTTGAGGAAACTGTTGATGACTACCTATTGTCGAGAGATAGGCAAAGAAGAGTCATAAAACCACCTCAGAGACTTGGATATGCAGATCTTGTAGCTTATGCCTTAATCTCTGCAAGTGAAGTTCTAGACGAAGAACCTAGAGATTATAAGGAAGCTATAAGGAGTCGAATGAAGACTGAATGGCTAAAGGCCATGCATGATGAGATGAAATCTCTTCATGATAATCACACTTGGGAACTGATCAAGAAACCTGTTGGGGCAAGGTTAGTCAGCTGTAAGTGGATTTTCAAAGTTAAGGAAGGAATTGAAGGAGTAATGTCGAAGAGGTACAAGGCAAGATTAGTCGCAAGGGGTTTCACTCAGAAAGAAGGTGTCGACTTCAATGATGTATTTTCCCCTGTTGTGAAGCACAGATCCATTCGAATGTTGCTTGCCATGGTGGCTCAGTTCGACCTTGAACTGGAACAAATGGATGTGAAGACTGCGTTCTTGTATGGTGACTTAGACGAAACAATCCTGATGAGGCAACCTGAAGGGTATGTCGAAAAGGGGAAAGAAGATTATGTGTGCAAACTGAAGAAATCTTTATATGGACTTAAACAATCTCCTCGACAGTGGAATAAGAGATTCGACAAGTTCATGGAACACATAAGTTTCATTAGAAGTCAGTTCGACCATTGTGTTTACTCCAGATTTCGACCTGAAAATTCATTTGTTATTTTGTTGCTCTATGTTGATGATATTCTGATAGCAAGCAACAATGTCGAAGATGTAATGAGGGTGAAGGCTGAACTCAATAAGGAGTTCGACATGAAGGATCTGGGAGCTGCATCTAGGATCCTTGGAATTGACATTCGAAGAGATAGAAAGCAGTCGAAATTATGCTTATCTCAAGAGGCATACCTACGAAAGATTCTTGACAAGTTTGGTATGTCGAATTCAAAGCCTGTTGTGACTCCAACAAACCCTCAATTCAAGCTGAGCATTGATCAATGTCCCAGTACTGATGTCGAAAGAACCTATATGAACAGCATCCCATATGCTAATATAGTTGGTTCTTTGATGTATGCTATGGTCTGTACTAGACCCGACATAGCATATGCAGTAAGTCTTGTAAGCAGGTACATGGCGAATCCTGGAAAGGCTCACTGGCAAGCGTTAAAGTGGATTCTAAGGTACATAAATGGGTCTCTGAACAGAGTCTTAATTTATGGTGGAGCCTTGGGTGAAGATAGTAAAGCAGCAGTCGAAGGCTATGTTGACTCTGATTATGCAGGATGTATGGATTCCAGGAAATCTATTTCTGGATATGTTTTCACTATGTTTGGTACAGCAATTAGTTGGAAAGCAACTCTTCAGAAGGTTGTTGCCTTATCAACTACTGAAGCAGAATATATTGCCTTAACTGAAGCTGTGAAAGAAGCATTGTGGCTTGAAGGTTTTGCGAAGGAGCTAAAACTTCAAGGTCAAGGTATCACTGTTAAATGTGATAGTCAAAGTGCAATACACCTGTCGAAGAACTCAGCCTATCATGAGCGAACCAAGCACATAGATGTGAGGCTGCATTTCGTCAGAGGGGTAATCGAGCGTGGAGAAGTCCAAGTGCTGAAGGTCTCGACAGATCACAATGCTGCTGATATGATCACCAAAACATTGCCAAGTTGCAAGTTTTTCCACTGTATGCAGTTGATAAAGCTGCATGAAGAAAGCTAGTTAGTGTCTCTTGATGCTGTAGAGTTAGGTCCAAGGTGGAGATTTGTGGGATTTTGGATCGAACTCTAGTTGGTCGAAGTACTTGCTGTAGTCGAAGAAGGTTCTAGCATGTATTTGTCGAAGGATGCTTGTCGAATTAGGTTTTAGTGTTTAAACCCTAATTTGTTAAGTTAGCTTGTATAATGGGCCTTGTGGAAAAAGCCCATTAGTTAGTATGTTAGGTTTTATTATAAATAGCATACTAGTCTCTCATCATTGCCAACACAGCAAATCCTAATAAAGGGTGAGAGGGTTATTTGTTATTCTTGTAAACTTGTAATCTTGTTTCCTAAGAGAAAGTAAAGAATAGCAGTTATAACCAATTCTTGTGTTCTTCTTCTTCCTTGTTTGATATTCCTCCATTATTCTATACTTTGTTATTGGCATTGAATTCACAACACGAACTCATTAAACAAATTATGAAGTTAAAGCAACCAAAATAGTCAAGCACGGAATCTTAAGTAGGATCAAACGGCATGTGAAAGATCGTAAAACTAGGATCGTAGTACATCACTTAAGATCTTACCGAAGGGCTAAATGGAAATTTGACATCTATACACACACAAAAACATGAAAATTATAGTACTTAGACAAAATAACCTATAAATCACAAAATTCAACCAATTTAATTAATAACTTATAACCATCATTCCATAATTTAAGAAGTTCCAAAGATTTTGTTCAAAATAAGTAGCTCAAAAAACATAAATCAATGACAGAAAAAAAAACGTAAATCTAACAGACAAGTCTACTCATCTAAGATATTGTGTATTCACATATCATGATAGTCACATAAAAGGCAACTTCAGCATGTAAGATCTTAAGATCCAACACTCGATCTTGGCTACAAAGTGCATGAAAAAGTTTTTTCTCAAATCGTAGCATTAAAAGGCACCTTCAGCATGTAAGATCTTAAGACCCAGCACTCGATCTTGAGTACACTAAGAATAACATATAAAAAGTGTCTTTATCTACATAAACTTGAGGTTCCCTAACTAGAAAAATAGAGTAAAAAAGTTACTGTCATGCGACAAAAGGAAAAGGGTTAAAAATGGATAATGCTGGTTGTGCAAAACATACCTTAGGTGCATAAACACAACCCAATGCTCCAACAATTAGGCTCCCTAATACAAATCCACCAACAAAAATACTTCCACTACTTGCTCTTCCATCGTCGCCACTGTACTAGCAAGTAGCAAGAGAGATTAAAAACACTACAAAGTTAACACAATGTCGTGCTTCTTTTACCAAAATTTCATACAAGCAAATAACCCAAAGACAAGATAGTACAATTGAACAAGAAAAGCATGAAACAACAAAAGAAACATTTGTGGATTATTTTGTTTTTGCTCCATCATTCAAAATACTAATGTAAATGCAGCAGAAAGATAAGTCCTATTCCTACCTTGCTCGAACTATAAACGGCAAGTTACGTGATGCTTTAGCTCTAACAGAGGAGCTTGGAAAGTGTTGAGTGGAGCTGATTTTCAAGAAGCATTTATCAACTGGCTTCAACAAGGAACCTGACATAGAATAATTTGAACATGAGATTTCCTGGAAAATCAACAAAGAGTGATACAATGTATTATGTATATGTTAAACTTTGATAAACTAACATCACCATATCATATGCAGTAGCAAAGATCAACAAAAATATTGTATCCCCATTATAACCCCGTAACATAGATCCACACACATTCACACACAAAGGAAAAGAGGGCAACAACACAAGAATTCTTGCATACAAGAGCACAGTTTCTAACAAATACAACTAATCAAATCACAATTTGATGATAAAAAATGAACCACCCGACGTAAAAACACAAAGGACGAGTTTTTGAACTAGGGTGATGGAAGTTATCACCTGACGTAAAATGGGTGTGTTGATTCATCGGCATGGCGATGGAGCTTGATAAAGCTTCCATTTTTTTAGACCAAAAAAACTGTGTAAAATTTGGTTTCTCGGAGAAAACGAGGAGGAGGAAGAACAGGAACAAAAAGTTGGTGTTTTTCTGTTTTAAAATTCACCTTTGATTCGATAGTGTCGAAAATTGAGCGATCTCGTTCTGTTTCTTTCTTAACGATAACGACCGTTAACGTGCAACCAGTTTAACTTGTGCTCATTATTTGGCCTAGTTATATTACTTTTTTGGGCTTTGGGTTATATCACCTATTTTATAGCATTTAACTTGGGAAATTTATTTGTACACCTCTTATGGAGTAAAATATCCTTGAAAATTTGAAAATAGTTTTTGATGATGTATTTCCGAATGCACTCTAAATCAAAGTATTTCAGAGATGCATCTCTAAAAGTATTAAAAAATATCAAATTTTGGGATGAATTCGAAAATACAATTTTGAATTGAATTTGGAAATACATTTCCGAAATTCGAAAACACCATATTTTTCTTGTTTTTCTCTTCTTTCTTACATTTAGTTATTTATAAACTGCAATATATTTTATATATTTTTTAAAAGAGGTTTAATTATTTGTTTATGGGTTTTATTTTGGCTTGATAGATTTGGTGATTGAATTTGAGTTAAATGGTTGTCTTGTTCGGTAGCATTTTACTTATAATAAGAATAATTTTCAATTAAATGTTTATGTATTTCTTATCAATTAAGATCTTTAAATGAATAGTAGTTAGCAGCCAATTGTTACATAATCTGATAATTAAAATTAGTTTTGATCTTAATTATATTCGGTAATCGTTGTCCTCTATCTAAAAACAGTGCTAGAACAATGTTGGATTCGCCTAAAACTTGGATGTTTGTTTCTGGTACCAAAAGTTTATAATCATAATTCTATACAATTAGGTATATTTGAAAATACATCTCTGAATTCACTCCATCTTTGAATTGGATGCAAAGATTCAGAGATTAGAAAATATCATATTTTTGTTTTAAAAAAAATAAGGGGTTGTTTCGGAAGTGTATTTTCGAGACATGCAAAAAAAATGAAATTTCGTAACTTCGGAAATACATATTCGAAAATACTCCAGAAAAAAGGGAATTTCGTAACTTCGAAAATACATCTCCAATAATACCTTAGAAAAAATGAAATTTCGTAACTTCGGAAATACATCTCCGAAAATATCTCAGAAAAAATAAATTATGATGCGTTCGAAGATACATCTCTGAATTATAGGGGTAAAACAGAATTTCGCCAGATGTGCTAAAAAGGTGTAAGGGTGTACAAAGAAATTCCATTTTACTTGCCACTGAATCTAGCACCCTCAAATCGAAAGAAAAGACCATGATATCATTGTTCAAACATTCCACCATTTTCAAAATTCACTCAAACGAATCGAGAATTTCAAAATCTTTGATACTGAAAATTTCAAACTTATACCGAAAATTCTTCAGAAAAAGTAAATAAAATACCAAAAAAGTTGGAATTGTCGGAAGATTTTTCCGAAAATTTTAGAATTTCTGAGAAATTTTACAGGAAATTGTGAAAATTCCGATAATTTTTATCAACAATTTAAAATTTCCGGAATTTATTAAGGTTATGTTCCTGAAAATTTCAAAAATTTTGATAATTCAAAACTTTTGAAATTTAAAATTTCAGAAATATCAAAAAAATTTATGCCTTCTTCTTTCACTAATTTTGTGTGTGTCATTTTTCTTTTTTTTTTTCAGTGAGGATCAAGGGAAGGGCGGGTCTATTGGAGACACAATAATCGATAGAGAGGCAGATCGAGCTAGGGTTGCTGAGGCAGAGGCTTTTCAGCTACGTGCTAGACGAGTTGCTCCGACCATTTCTCACCGAAAACAAATGGCTGAGCAGGCGTAGGATCAATTTGACGCACCAGACGCCGAGTTGTTAGAGTTGTTGCTGAGAAGGTATCTCCACCTGAGGAGGTTCCTATTGCTGAGGAGGTAACTCCACATGAGGAGATTCTTGTTGTTGATAAGGTTCTTTTTGCCGTGGTTGTTTAGGAGGAGGTTCTTGTGTGAGTTACTTGGGAGGTGGTGTAATCACAATCCTACAAAATTATTAGTAAAATTATGATCGTTAAAAAATCTTGAGTACATACACTACTAAAAATTTTAAATTGTACAAAATTTTCAATTTGAAATTACACATTTTAAAATTTCCGAATCTGATTGCAAATTACTAGAAATTTCTCAATAATACCAGAAATTTCATTTTTATTGAAAATTTTTAAATTGCTACAGAAAATTTCGTTTGGCCATTTTATTTATTTTTTTAATCAAAGACATTTTTAGTATTATGAAAATATTAAAGGGGTTAGATTCAAATTTTGGAGTGTGAGGTTAAATCCTCCTTAATTTATTATCTACATCCCTTTAATTGAATTATTTGATGACAGTTTTTCTCTTACAAGCTTATAACATTTTTCACAAACAAGTTCTAACATTTTGTTAACACTAATTTAAGAACATTTAAGTTTTTTAACGTATTCATTTTTTGTCTCCCTTTTTCATTTTAATTAAATAAATTTAAATATTAATTAAAAATTATATTTTAAATTTAATTTGATAGTTTATTTGTTATTAAATGGTGACAGTTATTGTTATGATAAAATGAAGTTTCTTTAATATAATTAATTAGTTTAATGATTCTTATTTAAACCTCATTTTTTATTTTTCCATGACAATGACCACAAACAAAGTTAGAGGTTCAATTTTTCCATTAATGAAAATAGTATCATTTTCTTTCATTCCTTTTTTCCCATGTAGGGTGTTTTCTTGTATGTGGCTCTTGTATGGAGGTTTTTCCATGGCTGCAACTGAAAATGATATTGATAACAGTTCAAGAACACTTGATGAGACACCAACATGGGCTGTTGCTGCTGTTTGCACTGTTTTCATCTTGATATCCATTGCTCTTGAGAAGACTCTTCATAAATTAGGAACGGTATGTAGTTAATTTATTTTTTTAAATATTGAACTTTGTTTTTTCTTTTGTTTTGTTGTTATTATTGTTATTATTACTAATTCAATGTTTTATAAGTTTCTCAATGAAGTTAAATGTAGTGTACATGTTAGTTTTAACTTCATAGCATTTAATATCAAATTGAAAGTTTTGACTAAGTGACTAAATATCTTAAACAATCACTTTTTTTTATTGAAACACTTAGTAGGGTGTTTTATTCTTATGATTACAGTATATCATTAAAATTTAGATAAAATATAATGAGAAGATAATTAAAGATATACCAAAAAATAATTTATATAAAATATTTGAACTGGTGCATTCAATTAGCATTCAAAATGATTTTTTTTATAATGAATTTTTTTTGGTATTTGATTAAATTTTTTTAAAAAAATATTGATATTAAATAACAATTTTTTAGTCTTTTAAAATTGAGTGTACAAATTTTGAGATATTCAATTAAATTTTTTTATAATTTAAAAGTTATGATATTTTTTTCCTCTAATTTCAATAGTTTATATATATATATATATATATATATATATATATATATATATATATATATATATATATATATATATATATATATATATATATATATATAATTTTATAAAAAAAAACTTCATCCTTTAAGAAAATTGTCTAAATACATTTAAATTTTACACTCTTTCTAATTTTACCCCTATTTTTTACTTTGGTAATCGTTAAAACATAAAAATGTGAAAGAAAAAAAAAAGTGAATATATATGGAATAATGACATTAAATGTAATAATTATATGTGCTTTTTCTTATATTTGAGATCGGACGGAGTATATATATATATATATATATATATATATATATATATATATATATATATATATATATATATATATATATATATATATATATATATATATATATATATATATATATATATATATATATATATATATATATATATATATATATATATATATATATATATATATATATATATATAGTGTGTGCGTATTGATTATTATTATTATTGTAGGTCATTTATTTTGGTTGATACTATTCTTTGCGTCACATATTGAAATTGAACATTGTCGCTATTCACAACAAATGTCAATGCAAACAAATATATATACACAAATAATATAACTGAATAAGGCGATAAAAAGATGAAAAGTTTGTTTACCTAATTCGATCAAACGATCTACTCTGAAGGAAAGAGTTGCTCTACAATTCACTATTGCCAGAGTTTAACAAGAGATTACAAATGAGTTACAAGAAAATAGTCTTCCCCTCCAGGTTCCCAAGAACAAACCTATTTTCTATCCAAGTGTTTCTCATCCTCTCCGACTCTCAATAATGTAAGCACACAAAATCAATGTATAACAAGTGTTTCTCAATACCCTTAGATAACTCCAAAGATTTTCTTAAACTTTTGCCTTTCTAAGGTTTTCCTTGAGAAGACCTTAAACCTTTGTTTCACAGTACTTTTAGATAACTCCAAAGATTTTGCTAACTCCAAAGATTTTGCTAAACCTTTACCTTTCTAAGGGTTTCCTTGAGAAGACCTTAAACTCTTGCTCTACCTTTTTGCTGTAAACTCTAAGAATCACCACTATAAACACAACAAAGAGATACATATTTATAATAGCAAAAACCCTAGCCCAAAAAACACAACCCATTAATTATTATAATAAAATATTATAAATATATTATAAAATATTTTATATTAATTTAGACTATTTCTAAATTAATATATATCCGATATTTTAACATTAAACAACGGATCCGTAAATCGAACCGGTGAAACCCGAAATCTGTGAATTACCCAAACCAGACATTCTTGTTGCTTTTCAGCTTCTTGATTTTTGGCAATTTCGAAACATATTTTCTTTCTTTTCATCATCAAAGGTTTTAAGGCACACTTCAACAATCTCCACGTTGACTTGAAATCGTGTTGATGCCAATTTAAATATTAACAATATTGTTGATCTCTACCATGTTGAAACTCTAATCAATAACCTTGATCAAATTTAAGTCATCCT